TGGTGGCTCACGCCTGTAATCCTAGCTACTCAGGAGGCTGAGATCTGAGGATCGCGGTTCAAAGCCAGCCCGGGCAGGAAAGACCGTGAGACTCCTATCTCCAATAAACCACCAGAAAACCGGAAGTGGCGCTGTAGCTCAAGTGGTAGAGCGCTCGCCTTGAGCTTAAGAGTTGAGGGACAGCACTCAGGCCCAGAGTTCAAGCCCCACGACCGACAAAAAAAAAAAAAAAATCAACAAAATCAAAAACAAAAAGTCTGATTTTATCTGTGAGAATGCTGGTACCTGAATAATTGATATAGAGTAGTGGCTTTTAAATTGTAGTTTATCAATTAGCACTATCAGGATCACTTGAGAAATGCAAAGTTTTAGATCCCCTACCCCAGACCTAATCAAAAATTCTGGGATTGGACCCAGCTATTGATGCTTTAACAAGCACATTCCTCTAGTAGCCCACACTTATTCTAATACACAGTGAGGGTGTGAGAACCACTGTCCCAGGGCAGAGGTTCTAGGATATCAGAATCACTTAAAGAAATTGGTGAAGATACAAAAGCTCTAGTCCAGTCCTACTTCAAGGTCTCTCTCTGCAATGACCTTTATTAACTTCCAGTTTGAGAACTATTGGTGTAGAACTTTAAGACTCCTGCTAGGTTAATACCCATGGATTAAGTCCCTGCTAGGGGCTATTCTGATGCAATGATACGGGCAGCAATGGCATACTTTCAAATTTCATATTATTTTTACTGGCAGAAATGCCTTTAAGCCAGCCCATATTTTGGGTATTCTGATATCTGAATTTTAGATTCATAATCAATCTCTTAAAAAGTTATATAATTTCCTAGCCACTGAAGCCACCACCTATTTTCCAGGTACCTTTTAATAGCAAAACTCTGAAGAGACATCTCTATTCTTTTCCACCATTACTTTCATTTTTAAACCCAACACTATCTCCCACATCCAACACTCAAAAGTATTTTGGATCAGTATTACTAAAATTGCCAATGTATCAAATTCTTTCACTGTCTTCTCATTTCACTCTGAAAAGTCTCTGATAATTGATCACAATCTCTATTCTCCTCTCTTTAAATACTTTGCTTTCTTGCCTTCCAAAATAACACTCATTTCTGGGTTGGGTTGGTTTCACCACCCCCGCACCTTCCTGGAGCTTGAACTCGGGTCCTGGGTACTCTCCCTGAGCTTTTAAGGCTCAAGGCTGGTGCTATACCACTTGAGTCACAGCTCTATTTCTGGCATTTTGGTGATTACCTGGAGATAAAATTCTCACCCCTAGGCTTTCCTGCCTGGGCTGCATTCAAACTGCAATCCTCAGATCTCATCTTTCTGAGTAGTTAGGATTATAAGCAAGAGTCACCGGTACCAGCTTCTTCATATATCTTTGGCTTCTTCTCAGTTCTAGAACTTCTCTTCCTTACACTCTGTATTTTCCCTAGGTGCTTTGATGGTTTTTTTTGTTGTTTTGTTTTGTTTTTACCAGTCCTGGGGCTTAACCTCAGGGCTTAGGTGCTGTCCCTGAGCTTCTTTGGCTCAAGGCTAGCACTCTACCACTTAAGCCACAGCATCACTTCCAGCTTTTCCTGTTCATGTGGTACTGAGGAATCAAACTCAGGGCTTCATGCATGCTAGGCAAACACTCTACCACTAAGCCACATTTCCAGCCATGGTTTTAAAACAGGATTTATATGCTGATGTGTTCCAAATATATAACATTACCTTATAGTTTTCTTCTAAGATACAAACTTACATATTCAACTGCTTACCTTATATCTTTACTTTGACTCGAATATCAAAAAAATCCAAGTTCTCCTTCAATACTCCCTTTCATATTTCACTTCTAATATTTTTTATTTCAGTAAGTAGCAATACCACCTATCTAATTATGCATGTATAGATGTTAAATGCTAATAATTTCTCCTGCCTTAGAATAGGTATCTTCATAGTCCTAACAAATTTTATCTTACATTTATAAGATTAAGTTATGACTATTTTCATACAGATCACTAGTAAGAAACATAAAGAAGATACGTTAAAAAAGTAAATTTATAAACACATATAATATAATAGATATAACCAAATAAATGTGCATGTTCTATAATATACATACATATGCATGTGTAGGTATGGATACATACTCATATACTATAAGTTAGCGGTAATGCATAAAAATACAAACTAAAAAGTAATCATCATCCATTTTAAAAGTTTTGCTTAGGTTAGCTAATTTCATTGAAAGTTTATGGTCCTAAATCTACATTTTAAAATGTTTATTCTTAAAGAAAAGAATGAACTTTTCCAATATTTTTATTTATAAATTTTAAGGTTATGGCCTATTTCTAAGTTCATATTGTTAGAACTTCATATATGTTAGAGAAGAAAACATACTTTTCTACTAGACAAGAAAAATAAAATATCAAGAAACAAACTCACCAATTTTTTCATCCAAGCACATAATTTTCTCCTGAGTAAGTTGTAGCTCATACTTTTTCTTAGCAAGATGTCGTTGAGTATCAGAAAGATCTTTCTCTGTGTTTTCATATAAAAGTCTGCAAATATTTTAATGATAACTCTAATTTTGATGTTTTTCCAACCTTTAGTGTATTTAAGTCTAAAAACTTTTAAGAACACTAAGATTTTTTTTCATTTTTAATATTTCCATTATAAAAACCACACTATAGGAAGCTTGGAAAATTAAGGGTAAAAAGGAATCCTCAATTGACTACTCTAACATAAGCTACTATTTTCCATGTTAGTATACATTATTCAGGTTTATTTTTTGCTATGCACATTTTTAAAGTTGCCATAATATAGATTAAAATTTTAACTGAATACTTTCACCTACACATAATTTTTGGTATCTGAAGACTTATGATGAAACCTTTGGAATCATTATTTTATGTAACAATAATTTACTTTTAAGTAAATGTACACAACAATTACCCTATTGTAAGACATTCAGGTTCACTTCAAGTTTTACTTTTATACATAAATCTGTAATAAACATTTCCTTCATTGCACCAACACTTGTTAAGTGTCTGGTATGTACCAAGCACTAGATGTTGAAGAAGCAATGGTGAATTAGGTTGCCACTGATTCTGCCCTCATGGACTTCATAGCTAATAGGTAGTAAACAAATTTCAATTCCTGGAAATAGGGAAGACCAGACAATATGAAAACCATTTTTGAAGCCCTGGATTCGATTCCTCAATACCACATAAACAGAAAAGGCCGGAAGTGACTCAAGTGGTAGAGTGCTAGCCTTGAACACAAGAAGCTCAGGGACAGTGCCCAGGCCCTGAGTCCAAACCCCAGGACTGGAAAAAAAGAAAAGAAAAAGAAAACCCTTTTACCATATAACACTTAGGAAGAAAGCAACTTTTACATGTACAGCAAAACTTACAATAATTTGAGTGGTATACTAGTGGCTCACACATGTAATCTTAGCTACTCTGTAGATAAGATCAGGATGATTGCAGTGGAAGGCCAGCCTGAGCAGAAAAAGGAAATGGACCCTTTCTTATCTGAGAGCTGTCATTCCAGCTATGACAGAAAGCCAAAAGTAGATAGGTTAAGATCCAGGCATGTACTCAGGCAGGAACCAAAACCTTATTCAAAAATAACGAGTGCTTAATGGGATGGAAGTGTATCTCTGCTGTAGAGTGCTTGCCTAACAAGTGCAAGACTGCGTTCAAATCCCAATTCTGTCATTAAACACAAACAAAAACTTGTAACAATTTGTGAAGTAAATGCTCTGGAACCCAATAAAAGCAATAAACTTTGGCTTATCTTAGTAGCTTATAGCCTTTGTATTAACTCAAAAACAAAACAAAAAAATAAGGCCTCAGAAATGTCTACCACATATAGAATTAGATTAAGTCAGCTCATAAAAAGCCATTAACAGCTATATTGATGTGGAAATATCCAGATTAGAGCCCTTGCTAGGCCAATTGTTGCTAGGTTCAATAGTGTTTCCTCTAAGAAATCCTTTCTTCTTTCCTTTCTTTTTTCTCATTCCCTCTTTTTCCTTCCTTCCTTCCTCCTCCTCCCCCTTTCCTTTTTCTACATTCTCTCGAGGAAATCCTTTCTTTTCTTTTTCTTTCTTCCTTCCCTTCTTTCTCTTCCTTCCTTCCTTTTCTTTCTGTCCTTTCTTTCCCTCCTTCATCCCTTCCTTTCTTCCTTCTTTCTTTCCTTCTTTCTTTCTTCCTTCCTTTCTTTCTTTCTTGTTGGTATTGAGGTTTGAATTCAATGGTAATGGCCCTTGTGCTTACTAGAAAGGCACTTAAGCCATGCCCCCAGCTAATTATTTTTCAAACAATATCTCACATTTATGCCCACACTAGTCTTCCCCACAACCCTCCAATTTATGTTTCCCATATAGCTAAGATAACCAGCATGTAATCATACTCAGCTTTTTATAGGCTGATGGAGCCTCATAAATGTTGTCCTGGCTGACCCTGAGCCATGGTTCTCCTCATCTCTGCCTCCCAAGTAGCTAGGATTACAGACATGAGCCACCACCTAACTTCCTCTGGGCATACTTAAACTCAAGATAAAACTCAAAATAAAAGTTGGTTCTAGGTTGGCCATATAATCTGGGAAGACTTGACAAAACTTCTCTATAGAGATTGCCCTCTCAACTGCAGCATAAAACTAGAACCTAGAAAATGATGATGAAAATGATCTCACAATTCAAAATTTCAAAATACTTTAAGAAACATTACAATCTAAGAGTTTAAAAAATACACAAACTAAGCTGGTGGTACAGTTCAAATAGTATACCTGCTTCCAAAGCATAGGAGAAATTATTTACTCAAATTGAAAGCAGTCAAAATGCCCCTTATTAGGAAAATAGTTAAATTGTGATACAACCATACAATGGGATGTTACTCAGCAATAAAAGTACCTGATCTACACAAAAATTGGTATGAATCTTAATGATGCTATTCTGACTTTTCAAACAAATCTCAAAAATTATATCCATATGATTCCATGTTTATGATTCTTGAAATGACAAATAGAGAGTTATAAAATGGATTAGTGAGTGCCAGATGTGCATGGTGGGGTAAGGAGACAATGTGTGATATGAAAGAGTAGCATAGGTGTATCCCCTAGTACGGTGTCTTTGTAGTACTTGAAAAGTTCTGTATTTTGAATGTGGTAGCTTTTACATGAAAATATGTAATAAAAATAATAATAAAACTATAATCCAGGTGCTGTTGGCTCACACCTGTAATCCTAACTACTTAGGAGGCTGAGATTTATTTGAGAATTGTGATTCAAAGCCAGCCCAGGCAGTTAAGTCCATATGCAACTCTTATCTCCAATTAACAACTCTAAAACTGGAAGTGGGGCTGTGGCTCAAGTGGTAGAGCATTAGTCTTGAGTACAAAGAGGCTCAAAGATAGCACCCAGTTCCTGAGTTCAACTTCTTATAAATTACAAAATTATTCATAATTTCAGTAAAACTAGGAAATTCCCAGATCAAAGCCATACAAATAAATCCATAAAATTTTCTGAAGGCAGAAATCAGTCATCACTTTTTTCCCCCTAAAAATTCCCCATTGCTTCTAATATGTAGCTGAAGTTACTAAGAAAGGTATTCTAATACTGCTTTATCAAGGAACAAAAAAACTGAAAACCTGACAAAGGAGGCATTATGTGTGAGAGCAAATGATAATGGTTTTGTGGTGTATGGGTCTCTTACTTCTTTATACATAAGCACAAACACCCAATGTATATTATGGTTATCCTTATGTTATTAAACTGTGTAACAACTAAGTATCTTCCAAAATAGTTGTAAGATCCCTGTAGAGCCAGGAACTGGCAGCTCACACCTGTAATCCTAGCTACGCAGGAGGCTGAGATCTGAGGAACACTGTTCAAAGCCAGGTGGGCAGGCAACTCCATGAGACTCTTATCTCCAAGTAACCACCTAAAAGCCAGAAATGGAGATATGGTTCAAGTGGTAGAGTGCCAACCTTGGGCAAAAAGGTAAAGGACAACATGTAGGCCCTGAGTTCAAGCCCTAGGACTAGCACCAAGGGGGAAAAAACACAACCGCGAAACACTGAGACACATCTAATTTTTTAAAATGGGAAAGTGGGTGTATAATATTATGTATTATATTATTATTGTGCATTATATATATAATGTCAAATTAAGTCAATAAATCACTAATAAGAAATAAACCAACTCCAAAAAAAAGCGTTCAACAAGTAGCCATTAGAAATAAAGCTGGTAATACCTATTGCAGAGCCTTGCAATTTAGTGTCAGAAAGCAGATTTTTTTTCATCTTTGAAGTATATGTAGGGAGGACTTTGGTAAAGCTACCTAATGTGTAATTTTCTCATGTGCCAATTTTGGGGGTAAAAAAACAACTATCTTGATCATATAAAATCACATTTATTGACATGAATACCGGAAAATAGAACCAAGAGTTTTTTCTTTGTTGTTATTTTTGTTTCTTTTCTTTTTGTCTTTTTTTGTTCATTTACATGTCTTTGGGAAGGTACGGAGGGCACAGAGATGGAAGGTCAGAGGGTGAACAAATACAGCAATGGTACTGGATACTGTTGAAAATGAGCTACTTGTGGGTGAGGATGAGAGGAAAAAATTGTGAGAGTGAGGGAAAGGAGGACATGATCCCAAAAGAAGTATAATCTTTACCTGACTTATGTAACTATAACTCCTCTGCACATCACCTTCATAATAACAATATTGAAAGGATCTCAGGTATGTGCATGCTCCCATATCTACTGCAGCATTACACACAATGGCCAAGAGGTGGAAACAACACAACAGTCCATTGAAGGATTAAGCAAAGATGGCACACACATACAACTTTTAAAAGTAAGTATTCAGCTAGGCACCAATTTTTCCTGTAATCCTAGCTACTCAAGAGGCTGAGAGGTTCAAAGCTAGCCTAGGCAGGAAAGTCTGTGAGACTCTTATATTCAATTAACCAGCAAAAATGTGGAAGTGGAGCTGTGGCTCAAGTGATAGTGTGCTAGCCTTGAGCAAAAAAAGCTTTGGGACATAACACAGGCCATAAATTCAAGCCCCAGTATTAGCACAAAAAGAAAAAAAATGCTACAACATGGATAAATGTTGGATACATCATTCTAATTAAGCCAGTGGCATAAAAATTATATGCTAGGTGGGGCTGGGAAGGTGGCTCAGTGGTAGAGTGCTTGCCTTGCATGCATGAGGCCCTGGGTTCGATTCCTTAGCACCACATAAGCAGAAAAAAAAAGCCTGAAGTGACACTATGGCTCAAGTGGTAGAGTGCTAGCCTTGAGCTGAAGAGCTGAGGGACAGCGCCCAGGCCCAGAGTTCAGGCCCATGACTGGACCCCCCCCCCCCCAAAAAAAAAATTATATGCTATGTAAGTTAGCTAAAATAGTCAAACTCTTTGAGATAGAAAGCAGAAAGATAAATGCCAAGGCATTAGGAGGAGGCAGAAATGGGGAGTTGGAGAATGGGTATAGAACTTCAGTTTTCAACATAACATTCTAGAGAGCTATTATACAAGAATGTGCTTATAGG